TTTCTTTTCCCCTGCAGCATTTGAAGATGATGCGATTGCTGTGTCTATGTCTGCTGCTACTTCTGCCAGCTTCTGCTGCTGGTAAGTTCTCATATCTTTGACTCTTTCAGGTGATAAGCATCTAATCAGGGTCTATGCATCCCTGTGCCAGCTCCTGTTTTCCTCAACTACCTGCATATGTGTATGTGTCTGTGTCATCCTCAACAAGGTTAATGCGTGCAGTCACTGTTGATTTCCTTTTTTTTTTCTTTTCTGCCTATTGGACACACTTGAACAATAATAAGTAATAAAAACATGCATGAAGTTTATAGCAGCAAGCCCATGGCTGTGCTTTCTTTGATATGGAAGATGTCATAAATGAACAGGTGACAGGAGACTCTGTGACGTACATGAAGTACAAGTATGCAGTTAAACCGACTGAGTCTTCATCTGCGTGCTACACGCTGAATGCCTCCTTTGATATCACCAATAACTATTTTGAATAATAAAATGTTTGAAAATGTGTATCTCACTGTTTCAGCTCTGCAAGCATCTCATAACTCTTCAGAACTTGAAGGATCAGCTGATGGTATGTAAGCCATATTTTGTCCAGTAGTACTTTTACTGCATCGCCTATGGAACAAATTGTTTTTTGCAGCCTGTCACTTTAGGAATCAGTCTGACACATTAATTCATTTTACTTAGAATTAAGCGCTCGGATCAGCAGGCCGACCACACCCGTGCATGACGGTGAATGGCCTATTAATGTGTTTTGAGAAGAATTACTAGGCTTAAATATTCTGAAGTCATTTAGCTGCTTCAACGTGTTTTTCATGTGCTGTCGTTGTCGCCTAAGTGTTGATCCTTGTTTTGACTCCGGGTAAGCGTAGTCAGAGGGAACAAGTGATTTATTGATTTATTTATTTATTCATTCCCCCCTTGTAAAATAGAAATATGATATGAAATAGAATATCATTAAAAACATGATATAGCTGTATAAATCAGCCCCGTGTGTAATGGTGGGTTATAATTTTCCATATCTATCTCCACTCCTGGTAATTGTTGTATGGTGGCTACCACTTAAAGCTCTTCTTCTTCATTTAGAGTTTTATTATTTGCTCACAGTTGAAGTTGTTTTTAAGGCCGCGTTGTTCTTGTTTGCAGTCTTATTGTTTAGTGTTCTCATAAGGTTTAGCTTCCCTGTGTTACAATATTGATTCTTGTTTATAGTTTTCATTTTTTCCTCTCGGACCTCTTGGCCTCAAACTGATTTTATATTCCCACCCCTTATCACCACCACAACCACGATCAATAGTGTTGCTAAAAGATTCAAAGTGTTGTCTGTATCCTCACTGTTGTACAATTTAAGAACTCTTACACTGTTAATATAAGAAGGCGGTCATGGTGAGAACCTGCATTTCTGCACTGACTGAACAGACGTCTCATTTGTCCCCCTTTTTTTTTTTTTTTTTTTTTTTTTTCCCCCCCGCAGACCCAGATGACGAGGATTATGTGGAACGTGGTGAGTTTGTTGCCCTACTCTGTGTAGTCTCTATTTCATACACATGCACTATACTGACAGCTGCACAGAAACCGGTATATGAAGGTTATGGCCTCTGTTATTGTCAGTAAGTCTGTATAGTATATAGGTTGTTCTACTCCACTAAGCTGTGGCCCCAGTTGGCTTTTAGCTCCCCTCAACCATTACGGCCTGAATAGAATCAATTAGCTCTGTAGAGGGGGCCCTGTGGATTGTGCTGAAAGGCCAATGAACACGTCAACATCTCCGTCATCCTGTCGGTCAGCTAATCAACACTGGCATTCTCGTTGTCTCACCATCCGCTTTTCCGTCACTCCTCATCTTCGCTTTGATAGACATTTGATAGACTTACAGATCTGTTTACAACGGCCTGCCTGCCAAGTGGAGAAGCAGCATTTCTGAAAATGGCTACAATTCTTTTTGAAGCCCCAAGTACTCTTTTCCTCTCCTTGTAGACACACGTACATAGGCTTAAATCTTTTGTTCATTTCCTTTAAAGTGCATTTAAATTTCTCAAGCAGCACACGAGTCAAAATGTGCAGATAAATTAGGGAAATTTCATTTGTAGAAAGTGTGTGTGTTTGTGTGTGCGCGCATGTGGACATTTTGGCATTTCTCTTTGTAACGTTCCAGACGCTTCAACCAATTTGAATCTAAATGCTGGGCCAGGCAAAACCACTGGTGTGGAGGGCAACAGTGGTAAGAAGTATCTGAATTGTAATTATTTATATATAGTAATGTATGAAAATGATTTTAAATGTCAACATTTGCAAGTGATTCATAATGTCAACGTGCTGATTCCTTTTTTTTTTTTTTTTGGTCTTTCAGATGAGGGCTACATGATTATAATAGTTATAGCGGGGGTGGTGTTGGCTCTTTCGGTCGCAGCAGTTGTCAGTAAGTACTCTACGTTTCCTTGAAATAAAGCCTTTTGCATTTCCACAGGTGACAAATATTCCTTTAAAGCCCTCCAGTGCTTGGCTGGAGTCAGCATAGTTTCTGTGTGCTTTGTGAAGCTTTTAATTCTTAAACAAATGTGAACTTTTCTCTTGTGGAGCGTTGACCTTATTTGTTTTCTTTCTTTTCTTTTTTTTCTTCGTTTACTTGCAGCCATATTGATAGTGAAGCGCAAGATGCAGCAGCAGGAGCAGGGGTAAGAATTAGACCATTTTCTGACTATTTTCTTTGCATCTTTTATGTACTTCAGTGCTCAAGAAAAACGCTGTATGCATATTCTCCTTATGTCCGTTGTGCATACTGTGGCAGCATTTTTAAAAATTCATGTTTTTCTTTACGCTAAGTCGGCCTTCGAGTAACAAAACCAGTCGGGTGGGTAACAGCCTTTCTGGCTCCCTTGCCGATTTGTCCCATTTAATCCAACTCGTCAGCTTGAAAACTAGAGAAAAAACAAAATTGTAAGCTGCATCCACCCATTTGAGCCTGTCTGGACTTGCACAGCAATTAGTAACACAGTCTGAGTCCTACGCCACCACCAGTGAACACACCACACCTTACCTTTTTAGCAATCAAACAATAACCTTAAGGCAGGGCCCCTAGGTCTATATGACCGAATGGGACAGGACTTAACCTGTTCAAAAGCTTACCTCATGAGCTGAGGCCTAAGTAGACACCTCTAGTCAGAAATAACGCAACGGGGTAAACATGAGACTGACTCAATGACAACAGTTGGCCAACGGCAATCAGACAGCAGAACAGCCTAAACCAGTTAAACTGAGAGACTCTCTCTGTTGTTTTGGTTTTTTTTTTTTTTTGGTTTTTTTTTGTCCTCCTCTGTTGGAGAACATTTTGCAGTGTAATCAATTCCTTTTGTCCTGGAGGTGTTATGTAAAGTGATGTGCAGGTTGGGTCAGAGGGGTCACGGAGGTCAAATCGGGCTTCAAAGATCTTTAAAGCAGCAGCGAACAGCTGTCGCAGAGCGGATCCCCAAGTCGATGTGCAAGGGTTAAATTCCTCTGCAGGATTACTGGCTGCCTCCTGGGGCTGCAGTCAGCTCTGGCAGTGTTTGGTGCTGACTGATCGCTCTGTTGAAAAGAGGCTTAATCACACAGCAACCTCTGGCTTGTTGGATCAACAGTGCCTTGCCAGGTTTATAAGTCCCACCTGGGGATGAGCTGTGTTCTGAGGTGATGCAGTCACTGTGCACCTGTCAAAGCCCTGTAGCACTCAGCAGACATGCCGTTTCCTGAACTCCTCCACACAGAGACGCTTCTTGTGCATCTCCAGACGTTTTCTAAAAATACCTTTAAAGGTGAAATTTTGCTTTTAACCTGCTTCACCTCACCCCCTCCTGTGGTCTCTCTCTCTCTCTTACTCTGTCTCTCCTCAGGATCTACTCTGTGCCAATAGAACAGGACCACAAAGGGTCCGTCTAGTTCCTGGTCTACAGCTTCAAGCCCTATAACACACAGGCAAGAGAGGTCGATGCATCAGGAAATGTTATCTCCTACTCTTTGACTCAGGACAGCTAGACTTCTTGGAACAACAGCCTGCTTCTGAATGTTCAGTTCATTCCTCCCTCCCACATAACCTCCTATACATGTGTAGCATATGCAGTATGTTTTTTGTTTGTTTGTTTTTTGTATACTTTTGTGTTTGTCCCAGTCATTTGTTCTGTACATACACATAATTTAGCCTGGGACTTTTGGAACACAGTCAAACCTTCTAATTGGATTCTATTTGAGGAATCCAAATCAAAGCCAGTGAATGTGGCTTAAAGCTCCTTTTGTTGAAAGGGATAATTTAGCACAGCCAGAACTCCCTGATTTTTTTTTTTTTTCCCCTTTAATTCCTGAGACAAGAAATTATTCCCAACGACTATGCAGTGTAACTCTGAGAGACCCGTCTATGTGAAATGGTCGTTGAGTGAGACAAACCACACTAATCCAGCCTAAGCCGGCCTCACGTTCATTCCTATTCACTTGTGTCACATTTTCTCTTCCTGGCCCATTAGGAATGACAGGAGGCAACAAAATAGGAAGATAAAAACCCGTTCACTGTCTTCTTAACTTCCAGTTACAAGAGGAGAGGGGGGAAAACCCCTGAAACAAGTGGAAATGGCTAGTGCTAAAACCTTCCTGCACTGCCACAAATTAATCAACCACCATGAATGATGATGTTTTCCAATCCCCTCTTCTTGAAAGGCTTTCACTTTAGATTGTAAATAGCTCTCTGAATGCTGTGGAGAGTTAGATTAATGCCTCCCACACTGTTACAGAGAACCTCGTTATGAGGGAGGGAAGGATAAAATCTCAAGAATTAAATAAAGTAGGATGATTGGGGAAAATGCCAACAATGCCTTTGTTTCATTCATACAGAACACAGTTTTCTCTGGTTTTATGCAAATCAACCTTTTCGTGCTGTGTGCAGGAACCCTTTCTATCCAAGAATCTAAGGTGCCGGCTTACCTGGTTGTTTGTCGGCAAAAGGGAATCTGTTTTCCTTGTCAGCTTTTTGTCTGTGCCATCAGAAGGAGCACTGATAATGGAATTAATAACACTGGGAATGACTATATAGAGTTAAATAGTGGATTTGCCGAAGCAGCGTCTCACTTTTCTCTTCCACTAAATATCTTGCAATATGTCTTGCCACTGGGGAGTGGGCCTGGCTGCCATCCAGACCTGAGAGCACCCCCCCCCACAACAACTATGCAATCAGGTCCTTATCAAGGATGTGCACTCCCTATTGGTGTGTGTGCTGAAGTGCTTCGTTTAAAAAAAAAAAACAAAAACAAAAAAAACAAAACAAAACTATGCTTCCCACTCGATGTAACCCAGATGTGATTATTGTTTGTGCGTTTTGTTTTCACTGTGCCCTGCGCTATTGTTATGTCTTGAAAGTGTAGCATTCCCCTGTAAGCCTTCAATATCTGTCAGCATTTCAAAAAGAGGACAGTTTGAGGGGAAAAAATTGCAGCACGAAACATTTCACTCTTCTCTGTCTGTCAGTCTGTCCCTTAGTATTTACTGATTCTCACTTTGTAGGACAAGCATAGCACATTTCCAAAACCGATGTAGCAATGTAGAAAGCAATCGGGCTCATGCGGAAACCCAAAGAGTTATTCAGCACCAGCACGCCTTTAACCAAATTCTACTCAGCTGCTCAGTCTCGTAAAGCCTAACTGTTGTGACTCTATTTGTGTAAAGCAAATGTTGCTGTGGAGCTTTTTTTTGTTTTGTTTTGTTTTTCCTCCCCTCCTATCTCAGTGATGTAAATGGAAAGGGTTATGCTAACATTTTTTTTTTTTTTTTTGTTTTTTGTTTTTTTTTTTTTTAACTACTGATATATTTATCTTTGCAGGCTAAAAGCATTGCGAAACTGTGCACTTAATCTTGCTTTCTGATACACAGTATAATCCATGTATTTACAAATGTACACAGCAATGTACTTGCATTGTCTCTATAGAAATCTCATGTTTTGGAGAAAGATTTTATTATGATTCTGGGTGGGGCCCACTGATAGTGGGAGTTTGTAAAATGTATATATGTTTTTTTTATTTTTTTTTATTTAGTTTCATACAAAACTACATTACAGGTCCTTCTCAAAGAAAATAGCATATTGTGATAAAGTGCATTATTTTCTGTAATGTACTGATAAACATTAGACTTTCATATATTTTAGATTCATTACACACAACTGAAGTAGTTCAAGCCTTTCATTGTTTTAATATTGATGATTTTAGCATACAGCTCATGAAAACCCCAAATTCCTATCTCAAAAAATGAGCATATCATGAAAAGGTTCTCTAAACAGGCTATTAACCTAATCATCTGAATCAACGAATTGACTCTAAACACCTGCAAAAGATTCCTGAGCCTTTTAAAAACTCGCAGCCTGGTTCATTACTCAAAACCGCAATCATGGGTAAGACTGCCGACCTGACTGCTGTCCAGAAGGCCATCATTGACGCCCTCAAGCAGGAGGGTAAGACACAGAAAGAAATTTCTGAACGAATAGGCTGTTCCCAGAGTGCTGTATCAAGGCACCTCAGTGGGAAGTCTGTGGGAAGGAAAAAGTGTGGCAGAAAACACTGCACAATGAGAAGAGGTGACCGGACCCTGAGGAAGATTGTGGAGAAGGACCGATTCCAGACCTTGGGGGACCTGCGGAAGCAGTGGACTGAGTCTGGAGTAGAAACATCCAGGGCCACCGTGTACAGGCGTGTGCAGGAAATGGGCTACAGGTGCTGCATTCCCCAGGTCAAGCCACTTTTGAACCAGAAACAGCGGCAGAAGCGCCTGACCTTGGCTACAGAGAAGCAGCACTGGACTGTTGCTCAGTGGTCCAAAGTACTTTTTTCAGATGAAAGCAACTTTTGCATGTCATTCGGAAATCAAGGTGCCAGAGTCTGGAGGAAGACTGGGGAGAGGGAAATGCCAAAATGCCTGAAGTCCAGTGTCAAGTACCCACAGTCAGTGATGGTCTGGGGTGCCATGTCAGCTGCTGGTGTTGGTCCACTGTGTTTTATCAAGGGCAGGGTCAATGCAGCTAGCTATCAGGAGATTTTGGAGCACTTCATGCTTCCATCTGCTGACAAGCTTTATGGAGATGAAGATTTCATTTTTCAGCACGACCTGGCACCTGCTCACAGTGCCAAAACAACTGTTAAATGGTTTACCCACCATGGTATTACTGTGCTCAATTGGCCTGCCAACTCTCCTGACCTGAACCCCATAGAGAATCTGTGGGATATTGTGAAGAGAAAGTTGAGAGACGCAAGACTCAACACTCTGGATGAGCTTAAGGCCGCTATCGAAGCATCCTGGGCCTCCATAACACCTCAGCAGTGCCACAGGCTGATTGCCTCCATGCCACGCCGCATTGAAGTAGTCATTTCTGCAAAAGGATTCCCGACCAAGTATTGAGTGCATAACTGAACATAATTATTTGAAGGTTGACTTTTTTTGTATTTAAAACACTTTTCTTTTATTGGTCGGATGAAATATGCTAATTTTCTGAGATAGGAATTTTGGGTTTTCATGAGCTGTATGCCAAAATCATCAATATTAAAACAATAAAAGGCTTGAACTACTTCAGTTGTGTGTAATGAATCTAAAATATATGAAAGTCTGTTTATCAGTACATTACAGAAAATAATGCACTTTATCACAATATGCAAATTTTTTGAGAAGGACCTGTATGTTTTAAGAAGTTACTTATGTTTTTATGCACTTTTCTCTTAAGGTAAACTCATGTTTATTTTGTGCCAACGATCACAATATATGTACATGTGTGATAGCTCACAGGAAAACTGTAGGTGACAGAATATGATGAATTGGATCTGTTTGCACAGCTGCAATCACCTTGATTTTCTTCTGATTGTGATTACAACATACTACTGTATATTGTGTATCTATGCTGCGCTCTGGATTGTGTTTGTTTTTTAATAAATGTGTTATGAAATCTGTGTGCCTTCTCCCAGTTTCTTGTTTGCATAATTTTGATGCCATATGGATACAGAGATAATGTGCCAATGGATGTTGTTTAATCTAGGGCTTTACTCGCTTACAAGCATAGAGCCACTAAGAGGCTTAGACACTCTTACTAAACATCCTTTTTCGTTAAGATTCAAAGTGTAAAGTGAGTGTGGGAGCTATGATGAAGTGAGCTAACTTTAATTTTTATATCCTCACAGAACAGTGAAAAGGGCTGTGCGAGATTGTCAAATATGAGATGATGCGGGGTTATTCCTCATAACCTTTAATAATAAATCCGAGCTGTGAGACACTGCCCGTGGCTATGGCATTAGTTACAAGATGCAAAGGTCATTAGAAACCAGCCTGCTTCATGGCTGAAGGTTTGATTAAAATGGGATTCATCTATTCATTATTGTCCCGGATAAATAATCACTTAACTTTTTAAAGGAATTTTTCTTGCCAACTATTGAAATAGTTGACCATGATGAACTCGATGATGGTTCCACTTTTTTTACTTGTCAGCATGAATCATGATTTCCAAGTTTATTTATTGTTTTTCTATGACAGTTACTAAGCAGTGTGTCAGTCCACATTCACGCACACACAGGCTGTCAGGTGTTTTTCTATTGATGGATTCCTGGTTGTTTTCTTGCAGCTGTTTTCTTTGGTTACTGGATTCATACGTGCTCTCTCCTTATCCTTGGGCTACCCGGTATGACCTGGACCAAAAAAAGGGGGGGGAGGGAGGGAGGAGGAAGGCATTACTCTTAAAGAATCAAACACTATTTCAGCAATCAATGATATTCATCAAACCTAAATATGAGGAAAAAACAAGATCTGTTGCAGTTCTGCCCTACAAACAGCTTAATGATAATCCCTTTGATCTATTAATCATCAAAGAGATTTCAGTCAGCATTCTGTTGCGCTATTATGTCTGAAGTGACTCATTGCTATATATCATCAAGTAGCCTCTGATATTAACTATTTAAATCATCCAAATGCAGTTTCCCAACAGCACAAGGAGAGATGCTCCTCATGCACAATGGGCCGATATAGAGTCAGGTGAAAAAGAGAGTGCATTTTCTCTTACTTCCAAGGGTTTGGCTCAGGAAAAGAAGAAAAATAAAGTTTAATGCTTCCAAAAGAAGCAAGATGCTAAGTACCAACCAGGTGCTGCTAATCAAGTATACTTGCATAACTGATCAGCCAGTGTTAGAACTAGGAGCATTCAGGTGTGTGTTAACACAATGCCAAGGAGGAAAGACATCAACATTGATCTCAGGGAAGCAATTGTTGCTACCCATCAATCTGGGAATGCCATTTCCAAACAATTTGTCCATCACTCTGTGGCGATAAAGATTATTCACAAGTGGGAAACATTTTGGACAGCTGCCAATCTTCTCAGGAGTGGATATACAAGCAAATTCACCACAAGGTCAGATTGTGCAGTGCTTACAGAAACTGCGAAAAACCTAAAAGCTCACCTCAAACAATACAGGCCTCTGTTAGCATGCTATATGTTACAGTACCATTAGAAAAAAACTAAACAAATATGTCCTTTTTGAAAGGGTTGCTCGGAGAAAACTTCTTCTAGCATAGCTTAAATTTGTAAAGCTGCATTTGAACAAACCACAAGACTTTTGGAACAACTTCCTTTAGACAGAGAAGACTAAATAAAATCGAGATGTAATGCACAACATCATGTTCATCACAAACATCCAATACCAAATGTCAAACACTGTAGTGGAGTGGTGATGATTTGAGCTTGTTCTGCAGACAAAGGACCTTGGAATTTCCTTTGTCTGCAGAACTGACTCAGTGACTGAGTCTACTATGAAATCCCCTGTAAACCAAAATATTCTAGACATCTGTGAGGTCATCTGTCTGATAACTAACACCGATGAAACTGGGCCATGCAACAGGACAATGATCCCAAACACAGCTCTGGATTTACAACAGCATGGCGGAAAAAGAAAAGCGTCAAAGTCGAGCAGCAAACAAGTAATTCAAGTTATTACTGCTAAAGGTGGTTATACAAGCTATTGAATTCCCACACTGCTTCTGCAGGTTGTATTTAAATTATTTTAGAACCTGGGAAGGACCAGATTATTTTTTTTTATTATTACATCCTGAAATGAAAAACTTTAGACTTTAGAAGGTGCACTTTCTTTTTTTCACATCAGGTATAGCCAGACATTTTTTGATGTTTAACTGTATACGAATTTTGTACTGATAAAACAAAAGTTACAAATGTTATTACTTACTTTGTTGACCTCTTGCGGCATTTGGGCAGCCGATTGAACTTTCCACCTACAGTCCAAACATAAGCAAAAGAGTAAGGAAATTGGTAGACTATTACAAGAAATTGCAAAGCACAAAAAATAGCTTTCAGATTTTCAGATACTTACAGGTAATGACCAATATGCCAAAGACGAACAGCACTGCTGCAATGACCAGTCCAGCATAACTCAGGGACTTATAATCTAAGTATATAAAAAACAAATCAAATAACCACAGAAAACGAGTAACGACACACAATCAAACACAATCAAAGAGAAGCTTCTTACCATAGGTGAAATCTTTGTCCCACTCTGACTTCCACTCTATATGGAGTAAAGGAAGAAGAAAAAAAGTATTGACTTAAGGTTGACTGTTGAACAGAGGAAATATCTATAGGAACAAAAAAAGAGGCTCAGTGGGGAACAACTGTCAGAGATGGCATGAGAGATCTACTGGCTCTGCTGACATGCTGTTGATGGCGTATCAAAAACCTATCTATGGTAAGCCGGCACAGCATGAGGACACAAATATCTTATCTCTTCTTGCATAAGGTACAATCAAGCATTAATCTGTTAGCAAGAGAGGAAGTGAGGTGCTCTGTTCTATCACTACGCTGTGGGTTTGTTTGGAAGACGGGGAATTGTGATACTGTCACAGTCTGCCATGAGATAACAATAGAACCACGATGCCTGTGGCATTTAGGGTAACTAAGGAATAGGGGAAATTTTTCCATTACTCCAGACAACTTTAGTGTTCCTTTTACCGATGGTTTTCTCGGGTGCAGAAGGGTTGGTTTTCACTGCAGGTGCTGGAAAAAAAGGGGGAAAAATTACTACGACTTTTTTTTTTCATCTCTACTGAATATGTAATAATTTACAAGTTAAAACTTTTTTATTTTTGGGACATATTGACTCCATAGCTTACAGTTACCTCTCATCAAACTCCAGATTCAGTCTTGTGTTTAAGTAATTCAATTTCTAAATGTTTCAGTAGAACGAGTCTCAAAGGAAATGTATGCTTTTCAGAATGTAGCATTTTCTCTACCTCAGGTGCTCTCTCTCGCTCTATTTTTGTCGGTGTCTGGTGGTGATACAGTTTGCTAACGTGGTCTACTAGCTGAACTTAATGGCTCTACTGACTCTTGATGTTTGAACATACATAGGTTAGGCAAGGCAGAGGGTAAAGACTCATACCTGAAGTTGATGTGAGCTTTGGTTGACTTGTTGCTTTTGTACTTGAAGCTAAAGAGGATGAATACGTACGATGAGAAAAATAGCATGCAGAAGAAAAATAATGGGGTTAGACACACACAAGACAAACTACCTGCTGAAGTCTCTATTCGTGATGTGGTAACACTGAGGGAGACGTTTGCTTGCTGGTTTGTGGGTTTTTCAGGTATAGTTTCCAGGGAGCTGTTAATATCTCTAGTTGTTCTCTTTTCCACTGCTTCTCCTTTTACACACAGAAAGAAACTGAATTAGATGGATTGACAGACAGATAGACAGATAGATAGATAGATAGATAGATAGATAGATAGATAGATAGATAGATAGATAGATAGATAGATAGATAGATAGATACCAGTGTTTACTGTAAATGTCGATTCAGCCTGCTTTGCATCTGTTGGTGTGGGTGCAGTTGCAGGTGTTTGGGCCCTTGACACTGTGGGGGGGGAAAAGATCACATGTGAAAAACTAAAGAAAAGTAGAAACAAACTTTCCATTGAAGGTTCCTATACTGTCCACTTTACATCAAGAACAAAGCACAGCGTTGTTAATGCCCGTGATTTTCTCAATGTGGCCAGACTTCAGAATGTGTCTGGCCAGGCACAGTAGCGAGGCCTGCAGATGCACTGAGTATGTCACAGTAATAGTCTTGTGAGTGGGCCTGTGAGGCAACCTCTGAGTGCAACAGAGCTGGATTGTTGTGCAAGACCACAGGACAGAGAGGCTGTTGTCTGTTTACTCACTCAGCACCTTCCAAATAGTGCCGAAGCTCCACAAAACCTCTACTTTCTTGGGCCAGTGCTGCCAGCACTACACAAATAAAGCCATACGAGGGAAAATATACTGAGATAGAAATGATTAACAGCTCACTCTACTTTTTAAAATTTTACCAATCCTTTTAAAATTTGTCACCTTCATGAATGGGACGTGTTGCTTAGATGTAACTGTTAACAAGCTAATCCCCAAGTTGCAGGCTATTTTTTTCCTAATCTTTAAACAGATAAAAAAAATAAGACAAGAAAAATTGTTTTGTTTTGTTAATGCAACACCCCCCATAAGCTTCACATGCTTTGCTCCACTGCTTACTCCTTTACTTTAAGGGGAACCCTAAAAAGTAATGAAGCAGACATAGTTCTTTATTACCACCACTGAACAGAATAAGCTGCACTAAAGGTTGGAAGCCACACAGTATTTTTAGCTCCATCCCATCACAGTTTTGTGGTTCAATGACAGAACCATATTGTTACACTGGCAACCATGTCATGATTGTAGGTGCAAGAGTTTAGCAGACAATAAAAGTCATTATAATGGACTGATTTTTTTTTTTGTTTTGTTTTTTTTAGATATTTTCTTTGGCATTTTTTTCTCTTAGAACTTTCTAAAGTTCCCCTGGCTGGTTCTTGGTCCCATGTGACACTGCATTCAAAGAATCCTGCAAATACGCCAATGTGCATCCTAACATAGGCTTACTGCACAGATACCCTGCTAAAGCTAATCAAGGTGATTAGGTTGTAATGAAATCTACAGTCTCTTTCAACCCCCAAAAAGTTCACACTTGACTTCAGTGAGCCAAGTCTTCAGATTTTCTGGCACTCACCTCTTAACATCATAAACAGGAAAATGCTCAAGTAAACCAAAGGCATCTGAAAGAAATAAAAACAAAACATGTTTTCATGAGATGCTGTGAAACAGTGATGCAGAGAATGCAGCTCTCAACTACTGTCTGAACAAACTGTTGTGCAGTTTTCACACAATCAGTGGTTACAGGATTGAAATGACCTCTGAGATCTACTGTAGAAAATAACTGAGTGCGCCTCAGATAACTCAGATGGCCCTTTTGAAAACGACTGGTGACACGTTGACTACATCCTCTGATGCATGTGTTATAGAATATTCAAGCACATCCATACCGCATGCAGACAAATGGCTGATCATTAGCACTGAGAAAAACGCTACTGATTTGTACTGTGTCTCTGCAGTCATGTAATGATCTTACAGTTGTTAGCCCCGGGAATGAAAGGTTCTGGGTAGACGATTGAGGCAATACAGTATTCACTCTCCAACATATTGTGCACCGCTCAGTTACCAGTCAGGAAGCTGTAATCAGTCAGGTTCGTGCCACATGGCAGCTTCCTCTTCCTCCTATAGCACGCGGCAACATCACCCACATGCCTCATTCAGCATAGCAGAAAACAAATTCTTACTTTGAATGTCAGACTTTATAAGACACTTTTTTTTGTCAAATGTGAGTGATCGAGGCCACATATTATAGATGCAGTCCTCCCACGTATGCCTGTGCTAAACTTTGTAGCTGTATAGATCTAACTTCATCATATTTTGTTAGCTGTCACCAATTAAAAAATGGCATTGGAGCATATGTCAAAACGACTCTTTTCATGATAATAGAAATCCTTGTACCGGCGAGCCGCAACCTCCACATCAGTGGAAAACGTTGGCTATTTCTTCCTCCCCCTCAATATTTTGCCCACGGCTTAAACAAAAACAAAACAAAACAAAAAAACAGAAGTAGGAAATAAAAGTGTATTGTGATGTATAATTTCATAGCAACACCTGCCAACGATGAGCAACAGAAGCAGGCAGGGAGGCTAAAGGAAGTCTGTGCCAGGGACTTAGTTTGAATCCACTCCCAGTGAAAAAAGAAAAAAAAATTAATCATGATCTTTGACCTATCCGGTGGCAGCTCATCCTCCGGGCTGGGAACAGTGTGACAGGTGAGCATTTGTGGCCGTCATGAGCTCTGACAGCTCAGATTAGCAGGTCATGCCAATCTTCATTTCACTCCAGAGCATATGTCAAGATGAGGCCTGTATCCCCTGGGCTGTACAGACGTCTTTCCCTTCCCCTAGCCTGACCCGCCTGCCTGTTTGTCACATCTTGCACTCTCACTCACTCTCCGTCTGTCTGTTCATCCATTTGTCTGTCATCCTCCATCAATCTCTTTTCACTTGGGTTAGACCAAAACACCCTTCAGCCCTGGGATATTCAGTCTTTCATCCAGGCTATTATGCTTACCTTTGTATCCATCCTGCGAGGTGCCCGAGTCCAGAGATGTATCCGCAGCTTCATCATCCACAGCGCTCTCCTCTGTGTGTCACTTGTGTGCAAGGCTAGTGGAGAAACGGTTAACCAACCACACCCATGTGATCACCCACTACTTCCTCACCCATTTGTCTGAATTCATTTTCAGACTTTCAGTCTCTCTCTCTCTCTCTCTCTCTCTCTCTCTCTCTCTCTCGCTCTCTCGTTTTTAGTCTCTTCCTCTGTGTTCTTTGGCTTCCAGTTTTCAGTTTGTACTTCTGCTTCATCAAAGCACCGTATGCCTTCTCTTCCTACTGTATCTATCTGGGCTAGTTAACCGTCTTGCTTCACATTTATTTCCTGTTTTCTCTCCATCTCTCATCTGACGCTGGCTTGCAAAAACAAAGAAATGTGACCTTGTATTAAGGGATTGCAGGCATGTTTACATTCACTTAAAAATGCATTGCATGCTGTATTAATTATCAGTCCCTGAACGCAATGAGATTGCAAAAAAATAAAGACCAGAGGCCAGCAATGTGTATTATTCACTTTGAATTTTAACCCTATATTTTAAAGCATATAGAAAAGCTGCCCTGTGTACAGTTTCTTTATGTTTTGTAAGAGTTATTTATACATAGCAGTTTAAAGACTTATTACCGCACTGATTATAATCAACGTTCATACTCATACCCCAGACCATATCACTACGGAAAGCCGCTTCCTTCATATTTATTGTGATGTACTGAAGTTTTAAGGAATTGGAATTGCCAGACTCTTGAATTACTGCTTTTTGTCTGTCGTGCTTTATTGCTTCAAGGCTGAAGAAATGAAGGTTGTGATTGTGACCTAAGAGCTTTACCAAACTGAGAAGCACAAACCTACACTGTTACAGCAGACAAAGCCTGCAATTCAAGAAGACTTGCAGAGGAGAGTCTTTGTGCAGAGTGCTGGTGATGCATTTTGAACAGCTTTTCACATTTTAATGTGAAATGTTTTTTTTTGTTGTTGGTTTTTTTGAGAAGTGTTAATATTTACACTAATCAACCACTGACAGGTGAATCATTACAGTGCTCTTGAAACTGATGTGAGCAAGGAAAATGGGCCAACTTGATGGCTAGATGAGTCAGAGCTCCTCCAAAACTGGGGTGCTCCCAGGATGCAGCAGTTAGGCTCACTGATGATGGAATAATGGCTGGCAGATCAGAAGAGCCTAATTGCAGAAAACCTTAATGCCATTTAAGAATACAAAATGCACTGCAGCATGGTGAATATAGGGCTGGGCAGAGATGATGTAAAATGCTCAAGAATATTCAAGTGAGTGTTACAACTGGACCCTGGAACAACAGCAGATGACACAGTCTGGTTATCCGCTTTTTCGTTGCTTAAACCTTACATACGGCTGACATTTTCACACCTTCGAAGTATGACTCAAACCAAGAACTCCCTCACAATTGTCTTTTGAGGTTTCTAACCTGATGACATGCACACATTGCTCAAAATTTGTCCGCCATACTAAACACGCTCAAATGGAAAACATGTGTATTTCATAACTACGTCACTCCTTCCTGACTCTTGCTGGGTGAAACTGATTGCTGCATCAAAAACGTAGTAATTCGTAATTGCTTTGGTTGCTAGCGGATTTTCACAGTTATAGTTGTTCATGTTTGTTCACAAACACTAACCAAGCAGTAGTCTGTGCTTTGGAACCAGTGGTAGAAAGCCTTGCATGCGGGACTTTCCCACACTCACTGAAATGGCAGCACAGATACTATCTATAATCTTATGACCCCACCCCCTCCCTAATCCCATCCCCACCCAACCCTCCTTTTGATATACATTTTCATACGAGTTAGTTTAATCTCAATTAGATTGGATTAAATCTCACTTAGTAGAGTAAATTGACCTCCGTAAGACTCCTGCTCTTTTTGTGCACCACACATCATCGCTCCTGTGCTGTTTTACTCTTTCAAGATTCTCCCATGATCCTTCAAAAACCAGCAGGTGCCTGTGTCTGTGGGAACCTGGGCAGGTGTGGTAGGAACACAGACAGCTCTCGTGACAATGTCAAGTTCCCCCTTGAACTCTGTCACCACTGTCCCAGAAAAGATTACACACAGGCATGTAAGGGAGATACAGCTTCTCTATTTTGTAATTCCCTAAAAGCACCAATTTCATTTTATTTGATTTGACCCACACTGGTGGATCTGAAACCCTCAAATTTGACTCTGTGCAGCCTCAGACTTTAATAGTACCCAAAGAAAATGTTTTAAATATTTTCATCTTTGTGTGTTTGTGTGTCAAATTTCATGATAAAAGAATGACATTTAGGACACTTTTGTTGCTGTCAAATGTCAAAACTGTTCAAATTTGACCAGAAGAGTGTTGAAGGGTTAACTTGGGAATAAATGGAAGCCGAGTACATGATGAGAATTCACTGGTCATTTAAACCTTCTGTCTACTACTAAGAAGGCCCACCCTTAGCCATCATAGAGGCACAGACTCAAAATAAATACATAAATAAATAAAAAAATCCAGGAAGCATGTCACATGGTATCAGCCACTGAGAAAGCAACAAATTCTGTTTAATGCATTGGACTTGATTTTCCCACAGGTAATCCATCTGTGTCTGATCTAAAGAGCAAATAAACACCTTGAAGTGCCTGTCAGGCATTCAGGGACAGTTTGTAAAACTGGCAAGCCCTGTTATTCTGCTGAAAGAGTGTGATTGACTGAGTTGAAAAACAGGAGGAGCCCAGGAATTATTAGAAAAATATAGTTTCCATTTATTTAACCCCCAAAAATTATATTTACAAGACTAATAAATGTTGAGCTCATAAAAGAGGTCAAAGAAACAAAACTGAACTCAGGCAAAGACTGCAAACTTAACAAACCAAATGACTGCCCAAATATACATAATTGACCTAAAACATGAAATGACATACAAGGGTATATATATAATGGCTGATCAGACCATTGTGACACATGAGGGGGTAACAAACAAAACACAATCATAAATCACAAACGATGCAGTACAATCTAGCTTGTTAATAAACTAAACACTAAAGAAGAAAATCAAAAAAACCCATTAAACCCTAAACTCAAATATTTAATTAAATACAAATACTTTGTTTTTAAAGTAAAAAAAACACACATTCCCCCTTCAGCAGGAAGTGGTGGTGTGGTCCAATTATCTTCCTTTGTATTTAATGGTTTCAAACCCTGGCTACCATCTTTTGTCCAGCAACTCCCAGGGATGATGGCAGGTAAGAAATAAAAAGACAAAAGTTAGTCAGAAAGCAAAGAAATTAAGTAGTATGAATACAGAAGTAAACTAAATGTGCGTGCTTACAAATAGAACAAATGTATCCAAACCAATTAATAAAGTTATTGGCAACTAAAATGTATTACTATGTTCAAATGAAGAATGAAAATACAAAAGTTACCGACTTTAGAGTGTGGCCACAGGTTTGGCCATCACAAAGAGGCTACTGGGGAAGTAGCCTTGAAGAGGTTTACTGTATTCATTTGCTAAAGTCTACAATGAGACAATATTTTTTGTTTAAACATGACAACATAGCAGGCTCTGGCAAATGGATACTGTATTCTGGGATTTCAGGATGTGAAAATGTAAAATAGTATAAAGTTCCTAAAACATTTCATATCAGACTCTGACACTGAAATAATAATAATGCTTATCATTGTCTTTATTTATCCCAGAAGACTTCCACACAAAAAAGATTGAATAATAAAAACACCCAACTGAACTAGTTCTACCGTACTGTATATACATTACAGGTAGCAGGCTTTTGGTTCCCACCTTGTCAACATTAACAATTCATTGTCTTTCTACCTGCTAATATTATTCCATTATCTAATATTCTGTTTAGTTAGTTGTAGTCTATCATTCACATGTTGGGGCAAATTACATCCTTCTTCCCAACAACAGGAGAGCAGGGCCACAAAGCGAGTCATGATAGCTGCCAGTGAAATCATGTTCTAATTTGTTAAACCTGTGGTTGCTTTGATTTGATTTCTTGATTTGATTTCTGAATAATGAGAGCATTGACAGAGTTTGCAGAAATTGCAGTTAAATTTTTGCGTTTGCTCCCAGCTGGCAGCACAACTAGGTAAAGCAATAAAGAGGATTTATTAAATCTTACCTTTTTCCCCTCCCCAAACACTTACCTGAGAGTGGTAAGGAAGATGTTAAACCAAACCAATGAGGTAATTAGTCGCTTAATTCCCCCCCCCCCACCCCTCTTTTGACTTAATTGTGCTCTCATACAGCCTGCCTTTTCGAGCTCTCTTGAGAATCCTCTGAAAACAACACATCACAAATGTTCACGAGGCCAATGAGGAAAAATAGAAGCTGACATACAATATTGAGCCGTCAAGCCTTCATTTTAGCAGATTACTGTTCCTGCCTGAGCTAAAACGATACATTGTGAACAGGCTTTGGCACAAAACTGCAGTCAGACAGGAAGTGAACAACTGTTCAGTAATGAGACAAACAGTTCATGATGGAGAATAGCATGCGTGACTGAGGAATCATAGTAAAACATTTAGTTTTATCTCCTGGCACACACGTCCCGCTGAGGAGACAGAAATATGTGGGTTTGACAAAATTTTGGATTGTACCAGCCTCATATAAGTCAATATTTCTGCTGAAATAATAATTTGCACTTGGTAGTAAGAGCAGACCACATGATGTTAATAAAAAAAAGATAGCAAGTTACCATATTCTTTCTAACCATGATTTTTGGACTGTAGCAGAGAGTTATGTGACGCTGATGTGATGAAACGTACTTGGAGGGGAAAGAGGAAGCTGGAAGGGTGTGTGCATAACGGATTTGTATAGAGATGTGAGAAAACCCAGTCACTATTTGTGCATATTGGGTGGAATCTAAAAGATCTATTGAAACTTTGAAGAGCTTCTGTTCTCCTCACAGCTTACATGCACTACTATAAATAAAGAGTACCCTGTAACTGCACTGCAGGAAAAGCAACTCATGTAGCCAAGCTGTTGTCAGGCCAACATGCCAATATGAGTACATTAAGCTGATGAGTGATTAGTTCCGAAAGCACTTTCAGAAAGATAGACACACAAGTTATTAAACGTCTTCTTAAAATAGTGCTACTAGTATTACTCTTCATATAACTCTTTAATATAAAGCTATCTGTATGTTATTTCTTTGAGCCAGCAGCATGGCTCAGTTGATAATAATAGCACTTAATTGGCCAAGCACTGTGAATGGGTCAAAATGCATTACTCGGCTGTACTTTGTGTCAGGTGACAATTACCAAATATTAGCTTCCTTACAGGCTAAACTAAAACAGTGAAGTAAACACTGCATCTGCTGAACATTAGCATCTACACTGTCTCCACTCTGATAAAAGAAATAAAGAAAGCTGATGTAAGAATTTAGCTAAAAGCACTGCTATGCTTTACAATGGAAGGACAGTGTCACAGAGAGACTTGCATTTTTGCAGAGGTTTGTTGTTTTTTTCTTCTAAATTGCCTTTACAATCAGATCTCACACATTTGATCAGAATTCATTGTCAACATCATTGTTTTGGTTTTGTTTTTAAATGTCTGGTGTAATGCCATTTGGGTTTTGAAAAAGATCTACAAAGATTAAAACTATTGCATGGGCTGTGGAGTGAAAGCCTTCGGCGAACTGCTTTTCTCTGAACTAGAGAAGAATTTTGGAGCAGTGGCCACAGCAGCGGCTTAACTTAACCCCGTCTTCTGCTCTCTCTATCGCTCCCTGACTGCCCACTCGCCGCGACTCTGCAAGACAAATTCCCTGCATGGTTTCTCCTTCTCTCGCTCTCTCTGATGCTGTGAGCCGAACTTCAATCCCAGAGAAAACAGGATTAGAGCCTGGCCCTAGATATGGCTTTACCTCCCGAAGACATAACTGTGCTAAATACCCCTCACTACAATCCCATTGTAGGGATTCCCACAGACTAACTGTGAGATCTGAAACTCTTTGTAGGAGACAAAGGAGGGATGGCACACTGTTCTCATCTGGATACATGTTGGAAAATGTCGATGTAGGATGGGTCAAAAGGATGATGTCTGCCAGGGTGGCACCGTCAGTCTGTGCTGCTTCTGCCCCAGCGCACAGCCGTGTCAGTCCATTTTTATGTCTCACTGACTCATGTCTACCTGCAGGCCGAAGCGATGGATGGGGGGGAGGGGAGCGCGAGTAGTGACCAGCACTTGGCTCCAAGAAGCAGGGCAAAGGTGAAAGGGGCAAGAGTGGAAGAGGAGAATAGACTATGATTTCAGGGAAGGAAGAAAACAAGCTCAAAAAGGAGATGAAGAATTTTATTAATAGAAAAAGCTTGTACAATAGCATCGGTTTGACATCCTTGATTGCATGTGGGTCTTGAGGCTCTTGTACTTCCCCCCCCCTCAACCTATTCATTCCCTTTCTTCCAGCTTCCTTTAAGCTTGTTCAGCTTTTTGTAACAGTCAGTACATTAGGTCAAACCAATCTTTTGAGGAAAATTTCAAATGATCAGAATATACAAAAAAAAGTCAAAACACTTGAAAATTGAAATTTTGCATTATGCCACATCTCGGTTTTTGCCTTTTCATTCAAGGTGATTGGTGAGATACAATTCAAAGAGAATGATGATAACAGAAAAACACAGTGGTGAATATCTGTTTTACAATACTCTATTGAATGGATACGGTCGACTCACAAGCCGTACCGTATAGAATTTGTTCGACTACTAAACTAACTCTCCTCGTAGCTCAAAGGGAAGATCAGAATCTCTCTGCGGTTGGTGAACAGCCATGAACTGCCTCGTTCTCTCAGCACCCTGCAGAGACACGTTAGATGTATGTTAGGTGACGCGTGTATTGTGTGTTTTACGGTTTTATCGCAAGTAAATAATGTTCAAATCAAAGATATTTTATAACAGGGTGTGTGTTTATTTACACACCCGAGGGCGGGTTGGCAATCTCCATTCGTTCCTTTGTTGACTCAGTTTGTGTTCAAACACAACTGAAGGGGCAGGACGAGAGGGAGCCGCTGTGTCCTGGTACATACCCACATCTTCATACAAATGGTCGACGGGGCGACGGATGACATCTTGTAGAGCACATAGAACGCATGGCGAAAACACAATCGGGAAATACTGTAAATGTGCTGCATTAGAACAAGGTCAGATATAGACTCTAAATGTAGCATGATATTTAGGCTGTGAGGTGTTTACTGGCCTGACTGCTCTGAGCCACGTTTGCGTCTTACCAAGTCCACGTGTTTCCTCAGGGGGGGGGCTGAGATGTGGCGTGTAGACACCAGTGGGATAATAATAATGGGAACATTCCTGCAGAATATGAGACAGAAGCGATAGCATCAGCTCATCAGCCATGACCTTCGATAACTTCCCTTTAATAGCAATTCCAGATGTTTCTCATCAATGGAGGGATGGAGGCTACCGAGAATTTTTTAAAGAAATGATTCAACCTATTTCTGTCGCCACTTTTGTCTAGAAATAACCTCGCAACACATTTTGAAGATTCCCATCATGGATTCCTGCCTGTTTAGGAAAACATGGGAAGTGAAGACAAAGGGTATGTAATCCCTGTTATCAAATGGAGAAGTCATTGGCATCCACACACTAACAGAAACAGTTTTTTTATCTTAAAAATGTTGCAAACAGGCTGAAAATCTGGCCCAATCACACCAAACCTTCTATTCAAAACTAGTTATCATTATATGTTAAATATGTTTATAGGCAAATCAGTGGAAGGTGTTTGCAGATCCATCCTGTTCTGACAGCAGTGTTATGTTTTCTTTTTACTACACTAAACTGTTTTCTCCAAGGTTCAAATCTCCGTTGGCCTTTTTAAAGTACAAAATGATAATTTCTCCAAGATCGATATGTATTTTGAATGCTAATTGTGATGTATCGATCTCTGTTCCATCTCTCTGCACTGCTAAAGGTTTCATTAGCTTATCTATCAATTTCCCATGTTATGGCTGAATTCTCCGCTTCCTCTCCTGCCAGTATTCCTCACCCTGTGCATAACCTCTTTCCTTCCTTCATCTGTTTACGCAACCTTTTTTGTGTCTTCGCATATTTTTCAATTGCCCTTTTCACTTTCTGCTCTTTGCCTCCTCTCTCGGGTTCCCACCTCCGCATAGCTCTCGTACACGTTGCTGTCCGCTTCTGATCCAGAGTCAACGAGCAGCGTGCGCTGGGCTGCCGCGTTGATCATCTCTCTGCTCTCGTACTTGTTGGAGTTTCCCGCAGTTGATTGACTTGACCTGCACGGTGGAATCACACTTTGTCATCTGCCAGCCCACGATTTATTTCCCCGCAACTTGTAGTAATTAGTCCCCAGTGTGAATTCAGAGTTACAAAGCATTCACCACGCACAGCAGCTTGTTTCCTGCATACATTAACTTCTTAATAACAATACATTATGTGGCATGTGTATCCATTTGTTGCAGGGTTGCGGTGTGGGTTTATTGACACTAATATAAACGGGATATTGAGAGACTTGTTGTTTTTGCCTGCCTGGCTGTTTTCTGGGGAGTTTTTTTGTCCACGGATGAGCGGGTGGATGAGGGCTCAGACTTACTTGAGTGGATTTGGTTGGTATTTTTATTACTTCTTATGACAGGGCCTGAACTTACCCCTCATCTTCTTTCTTCTTTCCATCCAACACACTGTCCCTGCTGCCCGCTGCTGGATATACAAACGAGAAGCCAAGATAATCAGAGAAATGTAAAAGACGAAAGTGACAGTGAATAAATGGACGAGTAGGCTGTAAAGAAAAAAGAAAAAGAAAAAAAATCTATGTGAAAACCAAAAGGCAGGTGAGAAAAAAAAATCTTGAAGGAGAGACCTTGACAGTTAGAGTGAAGAAGAAATGGGAAGAGACAATAAAAGCGATAGAGGATGGACATAAAGATAGCAAATGAAATAACAGATATATATGAAACACAGGGGTGACAGCTTTGAAGGATTAATGTGGCGGGGAGGGTGGAGGCCTATGTAGTGAGGAAGAGGAGAAGAGACAGGGTCGACAAATAGAAAAAAAAGGCACATAAAGAGATGAGGCGAGAGCGAGAGGCTAAGCTGACAGTTGTATCGTGGCTCAGTGATATTGCTGTGGAGGTATGTGAGGAATCAGAACAACGCGATGACAGCGCCGTGGAAGAAACATTTTAACATCCACTGATGGGAATATAATTATGTTTACCTGTCTGACCTTGCCTCTTTTTCCACCTTAGTCCAAAGAAGCAACCAATCAAATTAAACACCAGCAGGCCTCCTAATACTGCTGTCAACACCACAGTCAAATAGACTGGCAGTCCACTTCCACCTAGTTTGCAAAACATTAGAAATATTATCTCTGTGCAGAGGAAGTAATATGGAAATTTGCAAAGATAAAAACTGACTGAGACAGGCCCGACCACTCACTCAATTGTCTTTATTGATTAAAAACTAGCAGAGGGGAAAAAGTATGGGTGGGTGCCATGACAACCACACTTTTACAGCAAACATTAAAAGCATTGGAGGTGCATATATTAACATGATTTAGCCAAATGAAGGTAGCTGCTGTGTAAAAGACTTACCCTGTGAGGCTGGGTCTATATCTGATGGGTCCTCATCTGAATCTGGCCTCTCTACAGAGAAAATAAAATAGGACCGCAAATGCACATTTGTTAATTAGATCTCAGACTATCAGGTGCTTGTGCTGTTCAACCCTAAAGTGGGGTTACTCCAAACTGACCCTTAGTGGTGATGGTCAGTACTGCATTGTTGTCAGCATATTCGCTCTCTCCTATTGCATTAAGGGCATTGACAGAGAAGTTGTAAGTGGTGACAGGCTGCAGACCAGTAACAGTAAAGGTTGTCTCACTGGGAGGGAAGACATCCACATACAGGAAACTGACAGACTGATCCCAACAGTACCTGTCAACCAAAACAGTTAGTCAAGTACAATTCTTTGAGACTCCGAAAAAAAACCCCACCCTTGTTCATCTGACATCGTTTCTTGGCTCTTTCACCTGATGCGGAATCTCTGTTGCAAACCACCATTGAAGCCGGGTATCCATTCAAGAGTGACAGAGTCATGGCCAACACTGACTTGGCGAAACGATGAAGGGGGATCTGGGTGATCTGAGGGTAAAAGAAAAAGCAGAAAAATGAAAAAAGAAGAAAAACAAAGAAGGAAGAAGAAGCAAGCGTGCGCTCAATTTTTGTGAGAGAGCTGAACACCGTCACTCAACAGGGGGCTGTTTGAAAAGGCTTTAGGTGCTAAGAAACTGAGATGTGTGCCATTATATGGTCGAGTGATTCCATTCGCAGGCATGAAGAGCTATTGTGGATTAGACTGGTGCCGCCTTCTTTTTAATGGAGCTGTTAAAAACAGACAAAATGATAAACATGAGTTCAGAGCTGATGGTTTTTTTTTTAAATTTTATTTCATTTCCATTATTTATTTATTTTTTCACAAAAGGAAAATAGAAAGAAAAATCACTTAGGGGTACTCTCACTTTCCCCATTTGTCATACAGCTGTGTTAGGAACAAAATCATTTTGTCTGATATACTGCACCCATACTGTGTATAACTGTTTACCTCAGAACAAAAATGCTCGCTTTATTTTTTTGCAGTTTAATTTCATGCTGTGCCCTCATGACACATCACTCCAGGTATATTAGTCTGGAATGTTTAATCAAGAAAACTGGGAACAACCAATGACGGTAAACAGACCAGAAGAGAGATGATCATTGTGGTTAAAATTTGTCGGAAAGCTTTAAAAGCTTGTTTATTTTTTCCAACAGTTTATTCTTTGTCAAAGTTTAGCGAAAAGGCTTAAAAAACCCTCATATTTCCCGACAGCAGCAGTTTTGCATCACTCCTCATTTGCTCTTGCTTGCCCTTTGTTGTATAAGCGATGAGTAAACATGGGATTTAGCTTTAGCTGGTCTTTCTCAGCATAAACTAGCTGATTTATCCATTTTATCCAAAAATGTTCTGCAGTGAAGGATGAAGCCTCTTGATTATTATCAGTATTGTGAACAAAGGTCAGTGTAAGCAATCCAGGTCTTCAGTCTGACACAGGGCATAACTTCAGTCAGGGTAGTAAAGCAAAAGTGGATTATTTGGCATTTGGAGCGTAGAAAAAAGAAAAAAAAAAGGAGGTTGGTTTTTTGGGGGGCAGAGGGAGAGATAGTGGAGGGGAAAAGGAGGAGAGATAGTAGCGTAGCAACATAAGAAGGATGCTCTGCTCGTCTATGGCTCCGGGCTTCAGCCCAGTTTGCAAAGTAAATAATTCCCGCTATCAGCTTTGCTCATAAGATTCCAGGGCAGAGAGGTCAGCCTTATTTGGATCTCGTCTCCTTCAAATCCAAAAAGCACCATGCTACAAGAGGAAAAAAGCTCTCCTCCTCTCAGGCTCTACAATGATAAGGAAGCATATAAAATGTATTATCACTGCGTCAGATAAATTATGAATATTCACAGCTGTAAAAAAAAAAAAAGAAAAAAAAGAAAAGAAAGTGACTGGGGAAAAAACAATATTGGATTGTATTTTATGGTTTTTATAGTAAACATTAAATGTGTCCAACTGTGGCTGTAGGCTTTTGCTCAAAGCTGGACTGTGTTGATAATAGTGGTAGTGCACAGATACACTGGTAGCTTGAAGGTAGAAACCTCTAAGCATGCTGGCAGACTCAAGCATATCACTGCAGCATTATCTGAGGAAGAAGTAAAGTAGTGCTATGGGCTAAATGATAAGGTAGAGATAAAGCAGTGGAATAAGTTTACTTAAAGTGCTGCTTCTCAGGAGCAACAACTCTCTTCACTTTACAGAAGTCTAGATGTCTAGTGCCTCCCCCAGACTATTGTAATTTTGCTGAAAACGGCTGATAGACTTTGGACAAGGCAGCACTCAGACTCAGTCATTGTGATACGCTGCCAAATTAGAAATAAAGGGAAAAAAAATAGCCCTCCACTACCAAGTATAATGAATAATCATGAATAATGATTATTCATGATAATAACATTAAACCATGAATAATCCCTACATGTTGAGCCATAACCACTGAGTTTGATCATTTACCATCAGCTACTCTAAGTCAGATCTGAAGGGACCACAATCACCAAGAACACCATTGGTAACACAGTTATTATGCTTATTACGACCCAGAGAACAGCATCCCTACAGTCAACCACAGAGGCTGAAACCTTTGCTTTAGTGCTGTTTTTCCCCTAAGGATCCAGGATGACTTCATCGCATTGAGGTTCCTGTGGAGTGAAGATGGAAAGAAAATCTGTGGAGGGAACTGAAACTTTGAGTTGCCAAGCAGCAGCCAAGAGACCTAAAGGACTAAGAGATTTTCTGTAAAGAAGACCGGCCCCAAATCCCTCCTGAGGTGTGTTCAAACCTGGTGATCATCTACAAGAAACATATCATTGCAGTGCTTGGCAGTAAGGGTTTCTCCACCAAGTACCTAGCCATGTTTTGCTTGGGGATCAAATACGTATCTCAGTGGCATACAAATCAATTTCTAACTTTTTATGTAATGTATGTTTTTTTCTGGATTTCTCTCCATTAAAATCAAACTACAATAAAAATTACATACTGTTAATTTCTTTGAAAGATTCAGTCCTATAACTCTCTACAGAGATAGGCTTACACACACACACACACACACGAAACAAAAATAGCGATTCAGTACTTGTGCTGATGAGCTGGATGTCTAGCTTGTCTTCCCCAAGCGAGTTGCGTGCAGTGCAGCTAAAGACAGCGTAGTCCAAAACTGCGCTCACGTTTACCACTCGAACTGTGCTGGTGTGAAAGGAGCCTTCCCTCATTATCATCTCCTCATACCTGTAGCATGAACGTACGCACACAAACACAACCAGAGAAACACAATAGAGAAAGACAAATCCTTAGCATACAGACACACATTTTGCATTTTAATGTTACTCAGCTTGACACAAAAAAGTGTTGAACAGGTAAAAAATATCAAAAGCACTAAATCTGGATTTAGCAATGACATTAAAAAAATTGTAAAATAGTGTAGCATATAATATTTGACTTGAACTTATTTTTATTATACAAATTTAGCACAAGCATAAACAATTAACATATTCAATTCTCCAACCTGGGATTTTCAAAATCCATGAGTACACCACTTTTTTCCCAAGAGAAGTCGACACGAGGAACGCCCTCTGCCTGGCACACAATTTCAGCTGTGCTAGTGCCATCCCCTCTGCTTGCTACCTTTCTCCATTGGGGACCTTTACGAAGCTCTGGTTTAACTATATATGACAAGATGGGCATAGAAGATTATTCTTGCAGATACCACACAGCGAGGAAATGGAAATGTTTTATCGCCTTCTCACAGTGAAAACCGAATACAAAACTCACATTGCACAACCAACCGTATATGTGCACTGGCAGGGGGTTCTATGCCATTATTGGCTAGGCACTCGTAACTACCAGCGTGAGCCCGAGTCACATTATAGATGGTCAGAAGGCCTGATTCGTCTTCCTGGGTTTCCTCACCCATCTCCACCTCCTCCTCTCCCTGTCAAAGATAGAGTGAGGCAGGATAAGAAGACGACAGCCGCTATCCCTCACCACACATCTGCCTCCCCTACCTGTCTAGATGGATGAGAGCTAGACAGGTAGATTGTGAGGAAGAGCTGAGCCGGAAACCATCAGGGCCTGGGGTCTGGATGGGAAGGGCACTCAATGGAACAAGCTCTGAGAACGGAGAAGAATAATGCCAAAGGCTAGAGAGCCACAGGAAAAGAGAGAAGGAGGGGCCATGCAGGTTGAAAGTGACACGCACACACGACTGCCAGGGGGTGGGTTAAGACTGGTCGGCATCGGTAGATACAGAGACCACGCCACATTGACGAATGTGCCCTTTAGTCACGCAGCAGTAATGAAAGCTATTTTTCTGGATTTGGGCTGAGCGTGGAGCAGGAAGAGGTGGGGTGGAAGGATAGTTAGAGCCAGTGAAATATGGTGCATCTGGGCATTTGCAAAGGCCAGTAAAAAAATGGCAAGAAAGGAAGCCAGATAAAAGGAAGGTCATTTAGGGGATGACTGCTTCTGTGTACGTTTTTTTATATATGTGGCTCTCACCAGCCATTTCCAAGAGAACATGCCAGCTATAATCGGGTTTGCATCTGCCACACATATCAGATCTGCTGTTTCCCCCAGGTTCACGAACACCGGCTCTTTCTCTGCTTTGACACTTGGAGCATCTGAGGGTAAGAAAAAAGGAATAAGGTTACGGCAGGAGCAATATCAACCAGGGACAAATCATTAGGCAAACCATTAAACAGGCTTGCTGCATTGCTGTAATTACTCTTACACCAGTTTGCCTTTGCAAATATTCATAAACCCATTATAATTGGCCACTGTGCTTTGGATACAATGTCATTAACTTCTTTAGGTGATAACCAAGACCAAGAATTGAAAACACAGGGGTCGCAGAGGAGACCAAGCAAAGTCTCAACTCCACTACTTAACTATCAGGCTTGAGTTCATTCTCTGTATGGTCATTAGTCAAAAAAATAAAACAAGAGAAAAGCATCAGAAAGGAAAAAAAAAATCCAAAAATACTAATGAAGCGCACTTACTTAAAACAAGCTCTGTCAACAAGGCAGAAACAGGTAAAGGTCATACACACAAAACAACAATAAAAACTCATTGGAAAGCTGACAGTGAGACAATAAAGAGCATAAAGGCAGTCTGGCTAACATATAAATAGGGAAGTGATTAGCTAAAGGGAAAAGGGGACACAACGTTAAGCAAATGGAATAACTAAATAAGCAAAACAAGAAAGAGAAAGGAAGAAACACAGTAAGAGCATCTGTTCTTATAGATGTGTCTGTAACAGACATCTGGTCATGTGACCTATGAAGGTGTGATAGTGATGAAACAAACAAGAGGAGTAGGGTAACCTGGTGACCCTCCAGTTTGCCATTTTTATACATATACAATCATTCTACATATACGCTATATCTTCTTCCTCACTGCATGACTACACCTCTTTTCTTTGTTCGCCTCTGCCTCACAAGCTTTTCATACATCCCATGGGTGCCGTGTACTTGCAACAATAAAGCCATTAGTGCCTACTTGTCTAAACCTATGTTCACTCTCGAGGAACAGTGATGGGAAACGCTAGCAAGACACAGACCTCTGGGTTTGTGGAATCCACCCATGTTGGTCTCCTAACCAAGAACGACACCAATAAGTGGCTTACACCGCCACACATAAAAGCTACCACAATTCTCCATACATAATGAATATCTACAACTGTCAAGCCTAGTCAGATCAAGATGGCAGAATCCATTAGGCATGTACCATGGGCTTTAGTGAATCAGGCAGACCTACATTTTCCACATTCCTATTATTAAATCATCAGTATCGGGGCAGAGGGCCTAGAGCTTGAGGCTGGGCCTGGGGCAGCAGTGGTGGTGGATGGCCTTGCATGGAGGTCTAATGAATGAGGTACGTTTGGCGGGGAGGAACTAGAAGTCAGAGTTGTTGTCAGCATGTGTGGATGCACACTGTCAAGTTCAAAAGCAGTCATACTGTTCCGATTCAAATTCAATTTACAAAACAGGCAAGAGAAATTCTGCTTGTTCTCTATTTAAAGAAGGAAACCTATTCAATAAAGAGTTACCATCTCAATCATTGTTTAAAAATCTCCTTTGCCATTGTAGTTGGCTTCTTGGGGCACTTTCATTAACTTCTATAAAATGTTTGCTCCCTTTCAAAAGGTATAGGAGCAACAGAACAACATCAGAAAGTGTGTGCAAATCTAAAGATTCACACGAGCTCGTCCATTTCCTGTGTGCAGGGTCTTACACTGAACGTCCAGCGTGATGGAGATTTCGTTTGCGCCTTCATCGTTTTCACACTTGACGGCGTAACCTCCGGCATCGTTCCTTGACACATTCCTGATCTCCAGTGAGTGGTCATCTAACCAGTGATAGCGGTAATCTTCCTCTACCAAAACACACACAGACACACGCACACACAGACGTAAAAAGCAATGGTAAATTAAGTATTCATTACATGCTCATCAACTGAATGTCCTCTGGCCACTGGTCTCTAAGTGACGTCTAATTCTGCATTATTGATTGGTCTGGCCGGATTCTCACATCAAGCCAACAATAGACTGTGAGAGAGAGACACCTTCTTTTCCACAGCGCTTAAAATGTAATAGGTGGATTTCTGCATTTAAAATAGTCATTTTATAGTGCTGTTGTATAATGGAGCTAACAGAAAAAGAGAGTGGGTGCAGCAGGGCCCTGGTGACACTGGCCAGGAGGAGAAGCCAGGTTTAGAACTGTTGTGTTGTATTCAGGGAGACAGCAATCCTCATTTAGACTGCATACATTAGAGCAGTAATGAGAATCACATTTGGCAGGGTCCCATGCTGGCTAACCTGCCATGTTTTATTCAGACCCTGAATGGCAGAGCTGAGTGCTTACTTGCTGGCTCAGCTCAACTAGGACCTGGTTTATAGAGCCATCACACAACCCTAGATCACCTTTGACCAGCTTCTCCCTGCGGTGCAGCCAAATGCAGGAGACCTCCTCTGGGTTAGCTGAGACCAGCAGTGGGATGACTGCCATGTCATCCTCAAGCACCTGCACCTCTGTTGGTTGGTCTGGGCTGAATTCTGGTGGGTCTGACAGACAAGCAGCACAAAAAAATAAAATAAAATAAAATAAAATAAAATAAAATAAAATACAGCTACAGTGAATTGGATTCATACTAAGCAAATAGATCAGTGGCAAGGATATAAAGTCAGTGCCACAGAACCACCAAGAGTGAGCACAAAGACACACAAAACATGTTGGACGTGAAAGCACGAAGAGACACTAATGAGAGTCTAAACAAGTAGAAAGTCGACATCCCACCAATAATTCCAGATCTTACTAACTTCACACACTTAGAGGACGGGGGAGTAAGGCAGCACAGGAGGAAGAGGGACAGGCATTAAAACAACGAGTGACAGTACTGTTGTCCAACGGCAGCTCTGCACAAACACACAGTGACATTCCTTCATGCTCATACACAGCACCAAGCTTTGAAACAGTGGCTGGCTACTGCCTGTGAAATGGCATCAAAGACAAACATGGCCATGCAGCAAAGCAAATGCACAATTAGGACACATTGCCACAGAGCTCAACAGACCCACAACTCACAACAAAGGTTTCCGGTAAACAAAAAACATTATATTGAACACACATTCTGCAAAGTCACATCAGCAAACTACTTTTTGATCCACGTCATTAATGATCATCATTGTGCATCATTTAAGAATGATGCAACCCAAATCTCTGAGTCAATGACAGGAAAGAATGAGAAAAAAAAAGAGAGAGAGACGTGAGCAAACAATTCACCTTCTACTTACAAAGCACATTGAGCTTATAGTACGTGTTGGTCCCCTCTGCCAAAACATGGCTGTAGGCCTGGCAGATGACCTTCTGGTTGTGATGCTGTGAAGTCAGATTCAGAGACAGAGAACTGTGCACTGAAATGCCACCAAACTCAGCATCCCTGGGTTCCTCCTCGACTCCCTGCAACCTACGACACAATTGCCAACCAGTAAATCCAATTAATAAAGGACTTCAAGTGCACCAAACAGTTATCATTTCTCCTCATTTAATAGGATAAACATCAATCATTCAGACTCATTCTGATAGTGAATTGGGGATCTGATTTTACATAAGAGCTTTTTCTGTTATGTCCCCTTTAGCCTACTGACTAGGCAAACCTTAATGGGCCCAAGATCCAGGAGATGTTTGCCATCGGACTGCTGCTTCCAGCCTGGCACTCCAGGATTAGCGCCTCACCCTGACGAAGTACCTCTTGTTGGGCTGCGATCTTCATACTTACTGGTGTAACTGGAGAACCACAGAGTAAACACGAAAATTCAATTTTGACTCATTGATTATTTCAAGATGAAGGATATAAAATGCAGCAAATCAAATCTGCTGTGAAATTCATTTATCTAATATAATGCTTTTCTCTCAGCTAAGTTAGACTGGGAGAAAGTTCAAGTCTTAAAGCTCCAGCCTTACTCACAGTAAACCCTGAGCTTGGTGTATGCAGAGATGGTTTTCTTTGCTTTATTCGTGGCGTCACAGCGGTAGCTGGCCATGTTGTCACTTGCTGTCAGGACCACGACCAGTTCTCGAGCTACACCCATATCAAACGAGGTCTGCTGCAGTGCACCAGTCACTGCCGTTCCATCCTAAATCACAAAGTAAGATTGTAGATCTCTGTGTTTAGGCTCGATAAACACCACGACACAAATATACAGTCAGGCATGCTCTTACGGCAGTGCATTCTCACCTTGAACCAAGCCAAAGTTGCTTTCGGATTTCCCCCAGTGGCAAAACAGACCATATGGACCGTGCTTCCAGAACGTAAGGGGACATCTTCAGGTGGAGCATTGATCCAGACTTTTTGAGGGGGGTCTGTTGATTGTAATTTTTTATGATCAGTTCCTTTGGGTTTTTTTTAAAATATGTTAAGTAGACCTGTTTTTCATATTGTATTAAGGGACTGGTCTCTTTAAAAGAGCTGAAGTTGATATCAATTATACAAATATCAGTTCAAAAATTTCTGCAAAAGACTTTTCCTGGAACTGTGGGGGGGACAGGGTGGCAGTAAACCTCCTGAAATATCATCGGTCCCCACTGGTGCTTTTCTCCAAACTCTGTTATCTAATCAATTGGCAGAAATTGGCTGTTTGTTTTCCCCCTCCTGGGAAAAACAAACAGTTGTCCTCAAATCATTGCAAACACAATAATATAACATTAAATTATACAAGAAAATGCAATGAAAAGACTTTTGCTAATTATAGACACTCAAAAGATTGTGTCCCTCCTTCATTTCCCTCACTGTGGATTGGTCCACTGCCCATCCCTGAAAACCCCAGACACATTAGGCTTCCATATTAGGCTTCCATATTAGTGTCTGCAGAGCAATCTCTTTAAGTGTGTCAGTGGTGGCTGGCCTCCAGTAAGTAGGTACTTTGCAATGGTTAATTTAATACCAAGGATGTGTTGGCTGTTTTTTCAACTGAAAATAAAAAAAAAGACACATTTAATGTATAACTGTAACTACTCTACTTTTTCTTGGGTTTATTACCTTGTGCAGACTGTATATAAAAGATCCATGCTGTCACCCATTGTTCATGGAAGTCCTGTTTTAAAAACTTAGTTTGAGAATTTTGTCTCAAACTAGACATCACAAAGGAGAAACTGGGGACACGGCATGGTTGCAGCGTGTCAATCACAATGTAGCCCCACTCAAAAGCATACTGTATACCGCCTTATCCTATATTTTACTTATCTTATAAACATAATGTCAATAAGACTTGGAATGAGAAATTGAGACCATAAATTTATTATAATAATGTTTTTACTGATATAATAGGTGAGCATCAGGATGTTCCATATAAGTTTATTTAACATCTGACTTCTTTTTGCAATTAAACCTGTAAACGATGTCATTTTTTTTTTTTTTCTATCTATAGGATCCATTGGCATATTATTACCAATAATATACCAATAAGGTATGGCTTTGGAAGCTTACTTGCAATTTAAATATCTCTTTAAATATTTTGCTGTTTAATTTGTTACATATGCTTGATGAGTATTTATGAAACTTCATTAAGTCAAGATGTGGATTTTCATATTAACCTCTAATATATCTTTATATGTTTATGATTAACTTACCCAGTGTAATTAGACCCTAATCACATTCGTGTTTTCTTGCTGCATGTAAAATGGGTGGTATGATTTATCTTATAATGAATTTTGTTGACTTGTATTATTTGGAAATGAAGGAATACTTAATTTATTTTTTTCAAAAATTAATTAACAACTACATATAAAATATTAAGAAGTAAGTATGTTTTTTTTCAGGCTTGATAGCATTTTGGTCTTTGACACATCAATAGAAAAACATTAGGGATCCGCTTCTTTGAAAAAAAAAAAAAAGACTCATCATATATTTGATTTTGGTTCTGTTAATGAGAGGTTCTTTCTCACATTTGTTAATAACCTGCATCTGTGTGTCCATTTGTATACTAACTAGGTCAGCTAAAGCAGCACAGACAAGAAAAAAACCCTTCTGATCATATTTTCAGTGCAACAAAACATCAAGTAAGCGGAGAGACACCACACCTAGTGCTCCGATTACCACTGGGACCACCGTCACCTTCACCCTCCACATCTTCTCCAGCTCTTCTCTGAGCCCTTGGTATTTCTCGAGCTTCTCGTGTTCCTTCTTCCTGATGTTGCTGTCATTCAGAACCGCTACATCGATCACTACGGCCGTCTTCTCTGTTTGTCTACCACCACTATGTCCGGTTGGTTAGCCACCACCATTTTGTCCGTCTGTATCTGGAAGTCCCACAGGATCTTAGCTCGGTCATTCTCCACCACCCTTGGGGGCATCTCCCATTTTGACCTCGGGACTTCCAGGTTATACTCGGCACAGATGTTCCTGTACACTATGCCGGCCACTTGGTTATGGCGTTCCATGTATGCCTTGCCTGCTAGCATCTTGCACCCTGCTGTTATGTGCTGGATTGTCTCTGGGGCATCTTTACACAGCCTGCACCTGGGGTCTTGCCTGGTGTGATAGACCCCAGCCTCTATGGATCTTGTACTCAGAGCTTGTTCTTGTGCTGCCATGATTAGTGCCTCTGTGCTGTCTTTCAGTCCAGCTTTGTCCAGCCACTGGTAGGATTTCTGGATATCAGCCACCTCCTCTATCTGCCGGTGGTACATACCGTGCAGGGGCCTGTCCTTCCATGATGGTTCCTCGCCTTCCTCCACTTTCTTGGGTTTCTGCTGCCTGAGGTATTCACTGAGCACCGTGTCAGTTGGGGCCATCTTCGTGATGTATTCGTGGACATAGGTTCCTTCGTCTCTCCGACTGTAGGCTCACAGCCTCAGCCCTGGACTTGGGGTGAAACCCTCCATGCATGGTAAGGAGCTTTCTTGTCTTTATGTCAGTGGCTTCTATCTCCTCCTTTGGCCAGCCTATTACCCCAGCAGGGTACCTGATCACGGGCAGGGCGTACGTGTTGATGGCCCGGATCTTGTTCTTACCATTCAGCTGACTCCTCAGGACTTGCCTGACCCTCTGCAGGTACTTGGTGGTTGCAGCTTTTCTAGCGGCCTCTTCATGGTTCCCATTCGCCTGCGGGATCCCCAGGTACTTGTAACTGTCCTCTATGTCTGCAATGTTGCCTTCTGGTAGTTCAATCCCCTCAGTTCTGACTACCTTCCCTCTCTTTGTTACCATCCGACTACACTTCTCCAGCTCCGAACGACATTCCAATGTCATTGCTGTATAGCCTGGTAGTGTGGATCAGTGAATCAGATGTCTCGTTCACTCTTGGCATACAGCTTGATGTCATCCATGTACAGGAGGTGGCTGACAACTGCTCCGTTCCGTAGTCGGTATCCGTAGCCAGTCTTGTTAATGATCTCACTGAGGGGGTTCAGGCCTATGCAGAACAGCAGTGGGGACAGAGCATCTCCTTGGTAGATCCCGCACTTGATGGTGACTTGTGCTATGGGCTTGGAGTTGGCCTCTAGTGTTGTACGCCACATCCCCATTGAGTTCCTGATGAAGGCTCTTAGGGTCCCATTGATCTTGTACAATTCTAGGCATTCCAGTATCCAGCTGTGGGGCATTGAGTCATAGGCCTTCTTGTAATCAATCCAGGCAGTGCACAGGTTGGTCAGTCTGGTCCTGCAGTCTTGGCTGACTGCTTGGTCTGCCAGTAGCAAGTGTTTTGCGCCTCTGGTATTCTTGCCCATCCCTTTCTGTGTCCCGCTCATGTATTGACCCATGTGCCTGTTCATCTTAGCCGATAGAGGTGGTGCTGTTCTCATATTGTTCCCCTGCCACTGAAAAGTACACCTTGGCTGGTTCTGTGGAGAACAGCTGGTTTATTCTCTTGCCTTCTATCTCTCTGGTGTACCTCCTCAAGCGGTTGGCCAAGGCTGTGAGTCTTTGCTTGGCAGTTTCCAAGGCCTCAGGTATGGACAGCTTCCTGTACTTCTTAGGCACCTTCCTCATCGCGCCTTTCTGCAACTCCGATAGTTGGCTAACCTCCCTCTGTGCTACCTTGATCTTAGCCTCTAGCCTCCTTCTCCATGGAGGGTACTGCCCCTTGTGGCTGTTCAACTTGTAGCCAAGCATCTTACTGATCACTGCTGCCGTATTGTAGATCAACTTGTTAGTCGGTAATCGTGGCTGTAGGTATCGTCCCTAGTGCTGCATTAACATCATCTAGCAGACCTTCTGAGGTCTTGGCCTGTCTTGGCCTTCTTGGCCTGTCGATACCTGTCAGCTGTCAGCCAGTCCCACAGGCTAACCAAGCCCGATAGGACTCCTTCTTCAGCCTGGTGGCTCCCTTCACCTCTGGTGTCCACCATTTGGTTTGGGGATTACCACCACGGCAGGCACCAACCACCTTGCGGCTGCAATGGAGATGCTGAACATGGTCCATTCGGACTCAATGTCCCCAGTCTCCCTCGGAATGCTGTTGAAGCTCTGCCGGAGGTGTGCGTTGAAGATTTCGCAGACTGGGGCCTCTGCTAGATGTTCCCAGCACACCCTCACTACACGTTTAGGTGCACAATGCTATTGTGAAAATTGTTTTGTTTACTGGACTGTACAGTTTCATTAACCCTTCAGAACAATGCTGGAATCAAAGTTTTATTCTCCATGAAGTTTTCTTGTGGCAATTATGTACACTAATATCAAAGGAATTCAAGAAACCACGCTTACTTAGAAAACTTAAAGTCACTTACAGTAGACACTGAGTTCCTCGCTCTGGGTTTTGGAGAAATGTGTTCCCTTGTTAAAAGCCTCACAGGTGAGCTTCATCCCGTGCTCCTCCCTGGAGACCCGGTGGGTCATGTTGGACATGATTGTCATCCCACCGTTGTCTCCCTGCAGACACAAAGAACATCTGACAGTTTTGGGGGACAGACAGTCTTGGTCTGGCATCCTTACTTAGTTGTATGTGTGTGTGTGTGTGTGTGTGTGTGTGTGTGTGTGTGTGTGTGTGTGTGTGTGTGTGTGTGTGTGTGTGTGTGGCGGGGGGTCTGTGAGAAAAACAACCCTCGCTGGTTTGTCTTGGCGAATACAGATGGCAAATTAGCCACTGTAATAACTGATGTTGTGCATGGTCTGTGATAAATAAGTATATTCATCTGACTCTCCGGCTTTGCACACTGTTATAAATTGAGGCAAGTGTCATTTTGCACCTGCCTGATAGTGGTCATGCCTTTGCAGCACATCTGGTTATTAAAGCTATTATTGTGGTAATTACTGTAAAAGCCACAGTCAGAAAGACTAACAAAGACACTGGACAGGAGCGTCAGTCTTCATTCGCTTCACACTGTGTTGCATGCATTAAAGCTCGCATACGGCACAGTGAGTGCCTTGTGTAAGATCAAATGAAAATGCTGCTACCAGATGAATAAAGAGCTTGTTTAATAATACTCATCTTCTGTGTCAGCTTTTATTCACTTTGATCTTATTAGCATACACAAAAGAGGAGAAGAGCAGCAGAATACTCTTTTTGGAATCGGATGATTCATTTGCAAAGCTGCAGCAGGCCTATCCAGAGACAGCTCATGGTCATACTGTTTTCTTTCATCTATAACGGTTCACATGAGGTCACATTGCATTATTGAGGATTCTTTTAATGCAATAGGAGGCATTTTTATAGTTTTTTGTTGATACCCTGAAGGCAAGCTTGACTGAAAGGAAATGTTTTTGTACATTAGCTTCCATGCCTTTTGCCTATCTATTCATAAAAATAAATAAATAAATAAATATATATATATATATATATAAACACAACCTTTTTCAGTATTCTGTGTAAATCGACCAGGATGTTAACTAGTCATAGGACTGCGTGGATGAATTTCAGCGTTGTGCAAATTGCGTCCCGTGTAGTCCCACCTCCTCCATAGCAACAGAAGTGTTGTTGAGCTCCTTGTAGCCCAGCCACCAGCGGATGTCGACGGGGGGATTGCTGGAGGTGGTGTAGCAGCTGAGATTCAACTCTTGCCCCTCAATTGCTGTTAACGAACCCGACAGCGTCAGCTCAGCAGGCTCAACTGATGTACACGCACACATGCATGGGAAAACATACAAAGACAAGTCAGTGAAAATATCATCCCGTGAATAGTACATTCAACAGCTACATATTCTGATCACAGAGCCAGCGCAACTATTTTTGGATGTGAAACACAGAGCTGTATCAAGGGTGAGAGGGAAAAAAATCACTTTGAGTGGCAACTTGTTTTCTCTGGGGGTTTTCATTGTGGTTTCTAAAGTCTGCTTCGTTTTAACCAGAGGGGTAGACAGGGTACAATAGCTGCAGGCAAAGTGATGCAGTCGTATAAAGCCTTCCGGGGAATACAAAGCCTTGGGACCGAGCTGGCAGGCTTCTAGTAGGAGGGGTCATGCATGTAAATCTTTCGTGTTTTTATGTCTGTTCCACATGTGACACTGTGTGGAATGCATCTGCCTAACACACACACACACACACACACACACACACACACACACACACACACACACACACACACAC